GGGTTTTGTAAAATAAGTAGTTTTGCAGCTTCTCCCCAAAAGTGCAATAAGTCTTATTATAGAGAAGAATATAAGTTATGGGACTGTAAGATGTCTGGCAATCTGACAACATACGCTGCTCCCCCATGACTAGTGGAGCCTGGACCATAATGGTGATAGTTCCCTCTGTTGATTAGTAAGCTTACACTACTGATCCGCAAATCGTGTCTAAATAAGCAGGAAGCTTATCTGCTTTTAAGAGATAGCTCCCTGAGCTTCTATGGTGTTCGATAATGTGATATGGGCTACACTTCTTCTTGCATTTCTGTTAAACCACTTTTAGTTGCTATTTGAAGCATGATCCATACAAATGTAACTCCCTTTCCTTATACTTTTGAAGACCATTATCTGTTTAAACAACTGGTGGTGAAGAGAAGATATTGAAGGATTGAATACTAATATTTTATTTTTGTTGTCTTTATAGGACGTTACTGAAGATATGAAGATGGTTGATTATGTGATGCATATGTTTCCTTACCCTACCCTTTTTAAGAGTTTGTAAAAAAAAAAAAAAAAAATTCAGTTTTCTGTTGTACTTTTATGTGACTCAAAGCAATGGTATTGCCATAGTATGGTGTAGCCAAACATCTGGAGATGTTGAAACGGCAGATTTTCAAAGCGGTAGTCTTTGTTTTGCAGTTTGAGATCTGTGCAAACCGGCATAAATGAAATTTGTTTTCTTAATCCTTCTGTTAGGAGGTTTTTGTTTCTTTTGTGAATAAGCTGTGTTTAATGAGCGTTCGACTTACAAGGGAACTATTTTGTTATAGTATTTGCGTGTATAATAAAAGTGGAAAAAAATAAATGCTTGTCATCTTGTCCCTTTTTTTAAAAGCATTTTTTTAATAAAGGGCTTGATCCAAAGAACCTATATATGCTTTGGGGGGAAATAATGTACACACTTCACTGGATATGTAAATTACAATTTTAGAAGGGTGTATGTCGTGTGGCAGGGCTGCTGCAAAGTATAAAAAATCTCACGCATAATCCTACACCACTCGGCTTCTTGGTGCTGCAGGGAGCGAGGATGACGCGTGAACAGTAAAGTGCTCCAGTCTCATGCCCGCCCCTCCTTGCTACTTGTCTATTTACAAAATGCCTTGTATTTTTCTCACAGAATACAAAGCGCCCTGCAATTTGGGGTAGACGATCTGTCGCATTGTTGCCCCTCTCCTCTAGTCTTAAAGTGCATGGTATTCTTTGAGCTCCAGCCAGTTGCACACTATTAGGCCTAGGGAGACTGCACTCTCGCTGTTTTGGGTCTGTCATCTACTGGATAACATTGTTCATGTCGTATTTTGCATGTTTTTTTAGTGACCAAGTAATAGAGAAGTTAATGAAATGAAAATCCTGGGAATGACTTGCTTTTGGACTTCAGGTTCCCTGAGCTCTTCCTCTTGCTGTAGTTGGGAGACACGCACAACTAAATAATCTACTGATCTACGCGGCAGGACACCAGCTAGCAAACACTTGCTGCACAAACTGTACAGACATGTCAACGTCCGTGAGAAAGATGGGATCAGATGTATGGTCTTAACATGGAGGACGTTGCCAGCACTTCCACGATGTCGCACGTGCAGTTTGGGCTGCATGTGTGTCTGCGTTCTGTCACTGTGTTTCCTTACATCCCCTTTGATTTCATTTCTGAGGTTTTCTTCCAGTGCATTGGACGGTGGTCACCACGGACGCCAGCCTTTGGGGCTGGGGCGGGGTCCTGGGCTCCTTGACCGTGCAGGGTCGTTGGTCGCCGGAGGGGTTCCTGTCTGTCGATTTTAAATGTGTTGGAACTTCGGGCCATTCGCCTATCTCCCTGTGTCCTTCAATGAACGGAGAGAAAAGGATTTTACGATGAGTACAAAAATCCTATTTTTACGCTATTGAGACCAAACCCTTTTGTTGCTCCACATGGTTTACAATTGTAAGTCATAACTGGTTAATAGAGGTTTACTCCAGGAATGTGAGTTTGGAAACTCTAGAGACTTGCTTAAATAATGCTTTACACTTTAAATAAACCCATTACATTTAGTCGCCTAACATACCGTTTTAGTTGTGTTTTAGTCATCTGAATAGTTTGTGAAGACTAAAACAAGAAATTTAAAATTAAAACTGCTGGATGAGTGTCACTCTCTAGGACAGGAAGTTGAGAACTCCTGCTCTCCTCTTCATAATATAAGGGGGGTGTTCTGTAGTTCTGATAACATTGAGCTAAGGCTGCAGAGTGCACAGAACGGCACTGCATTTCTGGCAGCATCACCAGGTATTTGTACTTCTTTACCAGATATAAGAACTCATTGTTGGGCTTAAGCACACGTTAAAAAGGAGACAAATGCTGGAAGCTTTGCTCCAAAAATGGAAGGCAGAGACTAGTTACCAGTATTGTCTGTCTCCCTCCTAGCTCATTTTCCCCATTACTGACTTCACATGCCTTGTTCTGTGATGTCCCTGTATGTAGAAGACAATCTTGGTAAAGGAAGGGTGTTGCTTCCTCATGTCGACCTTCAGCAAGGACAGTAAGTGGTAAAGTAGTGACCTTACCAAATCGCATTCCAAATCTTCAAGCCGTGGTGGCCCTGTAAGCACCAGCTGATTTGACGAGTCTTTTTGAAAATCAACTAAGCTAGTTGAAAAATGATCAGCCAAACACTGACCATCGTATGAAAAGTTGCTGTTTGGGTGTTCAGGCAGCCCCTGGTGCTGAATACAATATCTGGCAGTGAATATTTATCCTCCACACTGTTTAGCATGGATGGGGGAAATCTATCAGTTTTTCTCCTATTCACATGAACGAGCCAGCTTTATTGTGCTCAAACTATAATTTAATCCAAAAAGCTTTGGCAGAATGCATGGACCAGCTTTGAAAGGGAAGAGGAGAATGCCATCATACCCTCAAATGGCCAAAAGTGGTCTTGTAAAGGAAGGTGCACACTGGCTGCTAAAGTCTGGCTTGAATCATACCGCAGGTATGTCGGTCATTACAGTCTAACTGTTTTGTGGTATGTTATTGTTCATAAGGGTTCCACAATTATTGCACCAGCTGCATTCATTATTATAGCTCCCCCCTATTGATATTTATAAATCAGGAGAAGGATTTTCAACAGTGGAAGCAATCTTGACATTTTGCATTGGACTCCCTGAAGTCTACAAATCGGGTTCATGTTTTGCATTTTTGATCAACCGGCAGGTTGAATTAGAATGGTCAAATCTAAAACCAAAGGTGAAAGTGTCTTAAAGGTTGTATGTTAATAGCACAACTGTTTGTCATCTCAACCTCATATTGGCAGAGTGGGTTCACTAACATAATGTTATGCATAATGCAACACAGTGTATGTGGGAAGAACCTGGCAGCTCTGAATATTCCTCCTGCTGGGCAGAAATGAGAATGGTAAAGTGAAATGCTGTTTGTATTTAACCCCTACATTAGTCATGCCTGGTTTTTCTTTTTTTATGCATGGAAAAAATTATTAAACATTTTAGTAAAATTAAGGTAATTTACACTTTTAAAGCCAAACTAGCCTAGCACCTACTTTTATATGTGTTGCCTTTTCGCATAAAAAAAAGCTGCTCTTGAGGAAATCCCAATAATGAAAAAAAAAATCTTATTTGCGTAGGAGGGTAATGCCATAATAAGCCCTAACTGTATTATGCTGGCAGATCTATTATGCATGGAGAACCAATGAATCGGTATGGCTGCTCAGGCAAGGGGTAATGGACCATGGCCATCAAGCTGGGAGTCTAAAACAAGCATTGTGTAAGCAGATATTTCTTTATTGTTCATTGAGGGGCACAGCTCTGAAGAATTGAGACCGGGTAATGCTGCTGCCTCCAGGAGAAATGGACCCTAGGCAAAAAAAAATATGAAAGGCCTCCTGACATAAAACCTCACACCTGCCAGTTTTTGCTTGGTGTCCTCGGGAGAATGGATGTCTCCTCTTCTGGTTTTCTTATTGTTAGTTTCTTTGTTGAATATTCTATTAGCAAGAGCTGCTAGTTGATTCATACTGATTGTTAAATCCTGGAAGTCTTTTTAGCTAGCCAACAAAACAGATTCATGCCGGATAAGTAAAATCCTGGACATTTCCCTAGTGGTCATGAAGCCGGTTGTGTCTGGTCTCTGTATTCATGCTTTGTCCTGCAGTAGTCATGAAGCAGGTAATTTCTGGTCTCAGTACGTATGCTTTGTCCTGCAGTAGTCCTTGTGATGCCTGCGCCGGACTGAATCCTCTGTATATCAACATGTGACTACGCTGTTCTGTGCTGTCAGTGAACATGACGATGCCACTCCCAGCGCAGAGATTTCAACCACCAGCTAGCCAACAGAGAAGGGTCAGCAATAAGGTTGGTTAACTCCACAGTAAACCGTTTACACGCAAAACAGTATCTCACCACGTGTTTTAACAGAAACGTAAACCATTCTCAACAAATGCTGTGCCAGATCACAAACTTAGACAAAGCCTGTGATACCACTGTCCTTTCAGACAGGATTATGACGGGTTTCAGTATACAGTAGCACTCCACAGGGACAAGGATACTTTAAGTTCTTAGAGTGTAGAGATAAGCTTAACGATTTTTTTAGATAGTTGTTTTTTTTTTTAAATACAAGAAACGGTGCAGAAAAATCGACAGGAAAAAATGTTAGAGACAAATGTAACGATAGTAAAATAAGAGTACATACCGGTAACAAAGTCCTGGTTTTGGTATGTTCTATCGGAGTCCAATTCAATGCACAGAAGACGAATCTAGATTAGGCTCTCAGAGTAAGGCAAAGGGTTCATCCTTGGTGTGATTGAGTTTCTTCTTGATGTTAGCAACTTCCTGACCCATGACGGAATTATTCTGTCAAAATCTTTTAAACACTCAAAGACCGGTGATGAAATAATTCAGTCATGCAGGAAAATGAGCGCAGGGTTAGTGCTGTAGCTGGGTTCCTCAGTGCAAGAGGCAAACCGGGGGGGTCCCAGCACTGTGATCACTGCGGTAGCCAATTGCAGTGATCACAGTGCTGTTACAGCCACTGATCTGGCTTGCAGCTCGCTGTGTTGTGGAGCTGCAAGCCAGAAGAGTGTGCTACAAATGATCTCTGAGTAGAATACAGTGTGTCCTCAAAATACTCACAGGGTTATTCACAAAATGGTGAAGAGTTTGGAGAAGGCAGGAGAAGTGAACAATCTAGGACAACATAGTTGATTTGGAAAAATTCTCCAATTCAGCTCACTTTCTGGTTCAGCTATGTTGTCCTAGATTGTTCACTTCTCCTGCCTTCTCCAAACTCTTCACCCTTTTATGAATAACCCTGTGAGTATCCAAAGCCCCTGTGAATAAAAAAAATAACCCTTTAGTGCCCCCTTTCAAAAAATTGAAAGATTACGTTTAAGAAAATATAGTGCTGAGGAGGCTATTAAAGTTAGGAGACAAACCTACCACATTCTAAAGTTGTTCCACACACATTGTATT